ACGGGGTTATGGTGCGTGGCGAGGGGGGTTTGAGGTCACAGGAACAATCGCTCACCCATTTATACCGGAACCTCGTCCTGGGAGAAGTTCGCGGGAGTGTCATTATGGTCTTTTTCCACTCCACGTCCCGCAAGTCATGCTTGGACCCTTTGGGGGGGCGGGTTTGTACAACCTGAATACCGACCGCTTGCAGCGCTTGCAGCGCTTGCATGGCCTTTGACATTTCTCCTTCAGATATCTCCCCGCATGAGGATATTGGGTTTCATCAAGTGGATAATCAAATTTATCACCTTCACACTCCACAGACGCTATATTGTCAAAAGAAGCAACCAATGAATCCCGAATCCCCCAATCTCCGAAAACGGGGTTCAATAGAAGAATGACCCATTCCACAGATCCCAGCATGGCATGAGTCTGTGAAAATCTAGAATCTAGTGGACACCACCGAGAAAGAGACCACGGTACAGCAAGCGGCGTCGAGATCACTGATGTGCCACGGCGTCGGTACAGAGCGGCATGGTCCCTCAGGGTCCCGGTCTCGCAATCGCACTGCTTGGCAAGGCAACACTTCAGGGCTGGTGATGGGACGGAAGCACTGCGCTGTGACGTTGATATGGCATGTGTCTCGATATATAAATGGTGGTGCCCAAAACTTGACATGGGAAAAACACAAGGAGGACCAAAAGGATCCAAAGGAAACAAAGACGTTTAAAGATGTTAAACATGTTGGTTCTCTTTCCCTCCGGGTCATTGCCCGGCCGATGGTCTCACCTGGACGCGTCCGCGTGAACCCGGTGCCGCCGCTGCTCCAGGACCTGGCGGATCACATCGCCCGGAATCCCGGTCCGCGGCTGCGGCGGTGTTTGGGGCACCGGCCTTTGGAGCGTTGAATAGAGGGGAGAGTCCCCCAGGTGAACCTTCCTGCAAAGGATTCAATATCGGCACCTTCCTGCAAAGGGCTCACCAGGCTCGAATCCCCGCCAGACAGGACACCCCCTTTGCAGGTGCAGGTAGGTATACGCGAGCCAATCGACCCCTCGATTTGTCCAAAGGACGGAGTGACCGGAATGAGCGGATCGCCCCGACGTCGCTGGGGGTGGCCGACCTTGGAGTCCGACCTTGGCAGCGTCCGATCGCTCCGTTCGAGCGAGGCCAGGAGCCCCGTTCGTAGCGTCCTTAGTTACTAGAAAGCTGTTCTTGTTACTAGTTGTTGGATACCCTCCAACGAACACATCACGGAAGTGGATGGGAAGATGACATTCCTTTTTCCTAACAGGTAATTTATTCCATTTCCATCTTAGTGAATCGGAGTGTAGGACCTTTTTTTAAACATATCACTGTCATTCACTGTCTTTTTTCCCGGGGGGGCGCCTGGCTTGATCTTTTCGAGGTGTTTGGGGTCGGGGACAAAAAACACTTGACGCTATTGGCTTTGGTGCTGTTGAGTTTCGGGCCCCACGGTTGTTCCCAACAGGGTTCCTGAGCCGCAGCATCAGGGGAACTTGTGTCCAGAATCATCACCCCAAAGAATTTGTGGCCGTGAATGGCTTTCACCATGGTAAGCACCAACAGTCTCCCATGGCAACAGAGAGTGAGATCTTTGGGAGTCGTGGCCGCGTGGCCCTTCTTGACTCCGTAAGACAACAATCAACTCTCTCTCTCTCTCTCTCGATTCTGACGCTCGTGAGTGTTTTGGCTTTGGGGAGCCCAAAGCAAAGTCCAGAAGAAAAAACTGCCATTTGCATCTATAACCTAGAGTGTTGGCTGATGAATGACCGCCCCCATTGGGGTTGAACAACCTCTTCATACGGGGGGGGTCTTACTTGTCAACCGTCAACAGCTAGAGTGTCCCCAAAAACGTCAATGTTTGGTCTCGAACTTCCGGCCCCCCTGTCCAGTGCTGGTGTCACACCTCCCAACGCCCCAGCTTAGAGGAAAGGGCCTTGCCCAGCTTCCAGACTCCTGTGGGTCAGGAGGAGGAGGAGGAGGAGGAGGGGTGTCTCTCACAAGCTTTTAAAAACATAAATCTCCTTCGGAGCATTTGGCGCCCTGAGGAAAGCAAGCTCAATGCCTGAGCAATGGAGGAGTAGAAACCGTGGTGGGCGAGCGAGCTTTTTGAGCTCCCTGTGCGAGCTGGTGAAACCTGGATGGGTCCAGGTGGGACACATCACAGCTGGATTCCTAAGCACGGGAGAGCGAAAAATGATTCACTCAATTCTTCACTCGAATTCTTCGCTTTTCGGAACCGTGGCTTCAACTTGGTGATTGGATTGGGAGTTCATGTTAGTCTGCCGAGAGGTATGTACCTGGACCATCCAATAGGTGTCCTGGCTGGAGATCCTTAGGTAGGGTAGGGTAGTCCATTCGACACCCAAACAGGATGGTCTTGGTAGAGATGTCTTCATATTCCCTTTTCCTTCAAACCTAGGGTCAGTGACAATGCTTTCCTAAACAATGAACTGGTGGAAAGTTTGACAAGCCTTTTCCAAGGAAAGCGGCTCAGAATATATTTAGTTAACTATATTTTTGTATAAACCGTTGCAATGGATTCATGTGGATTCGACTTGTTGTCTCTTCAGTGCTTAGACTGAGCTGTAGCTGGTCCAATCTGCCGTTCCAAAGGGGAAGCCTGCTGGCAGTTGCCTGTTGGGGCTGACCTGCATAGACTCACGGAGCAGAGCAAAATGTTTGCGACGGACTCGCGGAGGCAGAGTTGGCCTTTCAAGGATCATACGGGTGCGAAGAAGGATTCCGCTCACAGTTGCTCCCGTTTGAGCAGGGTGAAGGTAGAACTGTTGGAATGCGGACATTTGATGACATTTGAAGATAATCTTTTAATGTAGACTGTTGATGAACCCCGAAGAGATTTTACATCCATGTCTGGGGGTACGTGGAAATCTCATGTCGATGTAGTCCGGCCGGACACTTAGCCTTGTGGCCGGCGTTCTTGCGTTTTGACTGGTGTTGGCTTTTGCTGCCTGCCTGGCTCAAGTGTATTTGCTTACCGAAGACACACATAGACACACGCGGATTGAAGCGAAGTGTGGATTTTCCCCTTCTGGCGAAGGTGGCGTTTGGGGACGGGCGAGCATCTCAAACGGGCTAGATCTTGGGCCTTGTTTTGCTCCCAAACGGGTCGGGCGATGAGTGCCATGGAGGGAAAGCATTTGGTCCCCCGCCCTCCACCGGGCCCTGCACCCAAGCTGCGGTTCCACCGAGAAAAGGCCTTGGAAGGGACCGTGAAGCGCCTACCGCGGAGTCTGGACGCTTGGCCCGGAGGGATGTTTGTGAGTTCAGGGATTCTCATGCAAAAAGGGGACTCCACAAAACTTGAGAGTTACACTCCCAACGCATCACAGGGAAGCGGATGGGCCCGGCCCACCCTGTTGGTCAAGGAACATGGTTCGGTCCGTCCTCGGTGTGACGAGTTCGTCGGCTGTTCGTCGGCGGTTCGTCCGGAGGCGAGTTCCGAAGAACGGTGGGATGTGGATGTTGGAGACGGGCGTATTTGATGTGAGAAGGCATGACTTCATAAAGCAGATCTGGATAGATCTGGTATTTCCATGTCATGTATAAAGGACTTCTGTGTAATAGACTTCTATAGTATATAAAGGACTTCTATCTAGAGGACTCTTTCTGGTATATAATCCCTTCCTGGATCTTCCTGGCTGCAATTTCGTGCTTCGAGAAACTGCTCGAACGCTCTCTTCCTGGCTGTGTGAGTTGCGATAGCCGTCACATGCAGGCAACCCCTCACAGGCAAGCTTTCTCTAGCGGTCGTCTTTATGGTGAAGCTTTTGGAATGTATGTGACGAAGAGTCTACAGGCACAATTTCTGCAACCCAATCGTTCCGGATCGCTTTCCGGTGACGTATGCTTGAGGATGATGCCACGACACCTTCACTTCAGAAGATGCAAGACGAGAGAGATTTCGAGCGGCAGCGTCGCTCGAAGTTCCATGGCAGGGCACTGCAGTGGAGCCGTACCGTGGGGGAGGCGCAGCTTTTTGATGTCAAAGAATATGCAAATCTCTTTGCTGAAAAGTGAGGGAGAGTCCCAAGAAGCTGATAGTGTTTCATGAGAAGCGAGAATAGGATAGAATAGGAGCTTTTCACGGAAAAGATCCCAATTCAAGTTGCCAAAAACGCACTAATTGCGTGAGTTTTAACTTATGGCAACAGATGAAAAGCTATTTGAGCTCCATCTTTAGACATTCTTGTGTCGATCTAGTCATCCCGGTCGCTTTGATAGGCGTGCGCCGGGAGTTTTGGAAATGATTAGACGACCTTCTTATCACCTGGTACTATCCAGGCAGTATTTCAACCATGGCTGGTGAGGCACACACGGATGATCACGGATGGATATGTTTCAGAAATAGGAAACCGGAACCAAAACCGCTGTTCATCCGGCAAAAGAGCCCACCACTCCAAATCATCGCATCTCTTTCTTAGACTTAGATTGGATTCGCACTTGAGGTTTCCATCGGTTTCCCGTTAATCCCAGTTGATCCCTCAAAGGACTTGGCAGACGACTGCTGGCAGACTCGTGTCAACTGAGTTGGACCGGCCAAAGTCGTGGGACTTTTTGGTAACATGCAACATGAAACAGTGTGGACGACGGACAGATGTCAACACCTAGCAGGTTTTTCATTGCTTTTCGTTCTGTGGCCAACAGCAAGAGGGACCCACCAAAAGAAGGCACCGCGACAGCAACGAACGTTCGTTCACGCAACAACGAACGGTAAGCTGCTGCCAAGTTCGGGGTTGTCAAATCCCGAAGCTCTCACTCTTTAGTTTTGCTCCTTCCAGGATGCCAGGCTCAAATCCCAAGTGGTGGTGAACAAATAGCAACATATCGTCGATTTATGTCGATTTGAGCCCGGAGTTCACGGGGGGGGAAGAGTTTGCATCTAGCTTTGAGGCAGCTGCCGCACCAGCCGCTCGGCTGTTGAACAGCCAGGCTCTTGCGCAGCAGTGCCTTTGATAGTTAATAGTTAGACGATGCTAGGCGTTGGTCGTCGGAGGCTTTTGATCTCCGAGAAGGCATGCGAAGCATCGGCAGGCACTCGGAAAAGATCGGTGTTGTTTCGAGCTGCTGCGGTTCTTATCATTCAGCGCTTTGGGCTTGGGTCAAATGGGGTCTTTGCCGACGTGGGCGAAGGGCCCCATGTGTTGATTGGGTTGGACATGGGAGGTTCTGAAAATCGCGGTAGACCTCGATCTGGCGAGAGAACTGTTCATCCCATGCTCCTGAAGAAGGAAGCACCAGATGTTGAGATATATGATATACCTCCCAGCAGAGGACCACATGGACCCCCAAAACCACTGGCTTGGTCTTGGGAACATGGTCGGTCCAAACCATGATCTGAGGTTCTCTGGTCGGTCCATGGGATCGTCTGCCGGGGTGTACGTGTATGTTCCCTCCAAAGCAACTACAGCGCCTGCTTCAGCCGGTGTCACTCCCATCCTGCCGGCGCCACTCCGGTGCTGGGCTGCTGGCCCCGGTGGCGGAGAGGAGCTCAGATAGGAGCTCAGTGCGAATGAGTCTAGATGTCTTTGGATGATCCCAGCCACGAAGAGGGTGCGCTGTTGAGGTATTGAGACCACTTCCATGCGTGGTGGAGCCAAACGAATCAAAAACAGTCGCCAACATGGTGTTGATTCATGGTACTAGCTTGCGGTTGCGAGCTGCGGGGTATCCATCTTCACCTTTTCAATGGGGAAAGTCAGCAGCAAACCACTCTGTAGCTGCTTGGTTCGTCATGCCAATGCCTCGTGGTAGGGAAACTGCCTTTTTAAGATACATGACATGTTTGTGATATGTTTGACCTTTGCAGGCAGGCTCAAGAGTGCTTTTTTGTTTACTACCTGAAGAGACGAGCAAGCTGGATTTGCGACAAGGTCCTTTCTTTGTCCTTTGGTCTCTTTCCCCTGCCTTTGGTGGAAATGGATCCCCACGGTCCCACAGGGACGGAAGCTTCGACCTCCGGAGGTCCGGGACCTCCATCGATTTCGTGCTTCGGCTTTTCGCCTCTGAGGCAATGAGTACTGCCAGTGGACCTCACTTGGTTCCGATTCCGCCAACTGGCCCAGCTCCCAAGTGGCGGTTCCAGCGGGCTCAAGTGGCGGCCTCCAGTGACCGACATGTGATGCGCCTTCCGAGGATCTTGGATGCTTGGCAAAGGGGTGTGTGGATCATATTGGCAACGACTACTGTAGCAATCGACTGAACTGGGACTTTTCTTAGACATAAGTGCTGCCTCTCCTTCGAAGCTCCTGGTCGCTCTTCCGAACGATTTTCAGCTGGCCAGCGGTGAAAGAAGGCCAGCCAGCCAGTGGCTTGGGAAAGAAAGGGCCAGGGCCAGAAAACCTCCATCAATTTGGCAACCTGGTTTGCTCACTCATTCAGGTGAGCTGTTTATCTTTTTGGCGGGGGCATGAGCCACGAGACATTTACTGTAAGCATCCTGCTCTCAAACATTTGAGCCAATGTCGTTGGACCAGATGGAAGCAGAAGAAAACAAAGTTAGTACACGTTGACATGCATGGTTGCTTGCTGTAACACCTGCTTTCCTGGGAAACTGCAACTTTTGAGTATCCTTCAGTAGAATACTCCAGCGTCCAGCCAGGGCTAATTCTGCAATTGATCCAGGAAGAAGAACGGAAGCCTTCAATTGAGACGCTGCTGGAAGAAAGAGATGCACGACGGCATCGGCGCTCCAAATTCCATGGTGGCGCTTTGGAATGGAGTCGTCAGGGAAAGCATGCGCAGTTGCTTGATGTGGAAGAATATGCCAACCTGTTTGATGACTAGCGGGATGTGTAGCTTTGCTGAATTGCACAGAGAAGCGCAAAGCACCAGTGCCGCCAATCGAGAGGAGGATTGGACAGGATTGTGTTTGTTTTTACATATTTTTACAGTTTTTATCCGGCAAATCCTCTGAAGTCCAGGATGGGTGAGAGCTGTCTTCACTTGTTTGCATGGTGGATGTATTCTGTGGTGTGTGTGTGTGTGTGAGTGAGTGTGCATGCCAACCACGTTGTATTCCGATCTGTTTATCGTTGTATTACAACGCATGCTTTGGAGGGGATTACAAATTGCAACCTGTTTAGTAGAAGGAGGGTTTCGGCCTTTTTGCCAGAAATCTGACCCGGAATTTGGTCCTCCCGCCTGGTACAAGAGGGGTGCGGTCTTGCGAGCCTTGGACCAGAGCCTGATGGCTTGCCTGACTTATCTTTGCAGGCTTTCTCGGCCGAAGCCAGGGCGACGCGAAGGTACAGAATTTATATCACACTCTTTGACTGACAGGAGATACCTGGCACACAAAGTCGTGTTCTCAAAGGTGGGCGGCCAGGGACAGGTCATCGCTAGTCATGTGTTATGTGTTCGGATGGTTTCAGATTCATTCGGATGGTTGTAGGTCTACCTGAATGTGGGTGGTATTCACACCCCTGGGTTTTTAACCTCCGCGATCAGGCGAAGGCGAAGAATCTTGCTCTGGTGCAGAATCGCCCCCCCAAGAAGAGACTACTTTGAAGGAGCACATTCTTTGGAGTTTCACTTTGGAGTTTCACTCGGGTGTCAGTCAGGACCCCTGCAAAACCGCACAGCTTTTGGTCGCACTAATCCAAAGGAATGCAAAGGAATGCAGAATTAGATAGAAACAGGATGACCTATGATTACTGTATGTATCAAGTATAAATAGTATTAAATAGTCTGATTCTGGATGAATGGTTCATCATGGTTCATCACTGCCTACGCTTTACAATCTTTTTTGAGGATTCTGTTCCCTGTTTCGTTCCTCTCCCCAGGAGTTTCAAGCCACTTATATTAGAATATTTCCTTGGCCGTGCAACACCGCAGTTGTTCCTCAGGTGGGTCTAGAGATCTCTGATCCTCTGGATTTTCCCGCCCGGTTTGCGGTACACTTAAACACATTGTGGCCCATTCAAGCATGATTCAGCGTTGATTCAGGAAATCAGCTTGGGAGAAACACATCCGCAACCCAAATTGGAATACAGTACAGCCTGTCCATTTGAAACGGACAGGGAACGTTCCGCTTCCAGCTTCCAGTACGGCTGCACCTTTGTCCCCAAATTTCATGGAGGACGGTTGTGCAACCACAGAAAACGATCACAGGATGGCTGCAAATCGCTCAAAAGGCACCTAAGTCTCTGGCAAACCTTGCCCAGGACTTCCGGCCATAGACGTCTCAAAAAGTTCTTGGCGTTCTGCTGAGCTGGTGTTTCTCATGCTCCGGACTTCAGACAGATGTCCAGTCCAACCACACAGGGGTCTCCAACGACCGGGGGCTCTGTGCAGGGGTTGGGATCGATCTCGTTTGATTTCCGTACAAGTTGTGAGCAAAAGAAGATTGTATTTTTGCAGGGAAGTGAGGATCGTAGGTTTGGGGGGGGAAGTCATACTTTTTTGAAACTCACATCATGGATAGTCGACTGTAGGTTGCCGTCCATTTGAGCAGAACATTAAGAGCATCCAAAGAAATCATCCAGAGCATTGGCCGAACCCCGGAGTTCTCATGATCTTTTTGATTAAAACCGATATGAAGGGCCTTGGATCACCTCGATGTTCTCCAACGAGCCCAAGGGTTCTTCGGCTCCGTCCTTCATGTGCCGTGTGAGTCGGTCACCTGGGGACCTGCACAGCGACCACTGTGGCTCAAGCTTCCGTTCAACGATATATACGTATCATTCCATCTCTGTCCCAGAAGGTGCCAGATACCAAAAGAGCCATGGAATGGTTGAATAGAGGAACTGGACAAAAGACATCAAAAGTCGAGGTCAGATTCAGGGGTACAGTCAGTAGCGTCATTTTCATCTTCTGCCAAGTGTGTTCGGCTGTGCTCCACCCTCATGAACTGTTCGGCGTGCGGAAAGCGGTACGATCTGCGTGCGGCTCTGAGTCCTTCGGGTCGCCGCTCGGTCGCCCGCGAATCGCGAAGCTCATGGCGAGTAGTTCCAGTAGCGAGAGCTCATCGAGTGGGGAGGAAGAGGTGGAAGAGGTGGAGAAGGCTGGAGAAAAGCTTGAGGATGAGGTCCCAGAGGCGGGTTGACTGGCGGACGAGAAAGAAGCACGAGCATGAGCATGAAGGAAGCACGAAGATCCTGCATGCTTTCGACGATCTCTATAAAACAGCTCAATGCTGCTAAATGCACAGGGAAGGCACTGAGGAAGTTGGAGGAATATGAGGTAGATAAGTGTAGTACTTATATAGGGGATCCCAATGGATGTCTCCAGAGACGGCAAACCACGGTTTTTCGTTAAGAGTGGTAGCCACTTCGATGGAGGCAATACACATTGATACAGATGGTGCCTCCGCTACATGATCCTGCCCCGTGTCCTTTTCGGTCTTTCTGGTCCATCTTTCGGTCTTCCCGGTCCCGAGTTTTTGTCTTGTGGTTTGGTGCCATCGAACCTCTGAAACCACTGTAGGCTGTGAAAAAGCCGGGAGAATCTGCAAGGTATGAACAGCTGATCAGGCTCCATATCCTGAAAAAGCCATGGTTTTACCATTTCGGAAGCTCGCAGCTGTTTGGGCCTTTCCTGTGGCACCCCGCTGGCGAAGCTGTGAACACATCCGAAGATCCAGCAGATTCTCTTGAAGGAAGAAATCCGCGACCGCCAGTTTTCACCGGATCTCCTCCCCAGACCCCAGGTCTTTTCGCTGATTCTGCTGCCGCTGATTCTGAGGCTCCGGCCGAAGAAAGCTCCGATGCCAGGCGGTGGAGATCACCAACGAACTGCCAGACTTCCCTGAAGACTTGGACGAAGACTTGGAGAAGCAGCCCAGCAAGACACAAATCATGCAGGCGGCGCATTTGGGCGGTGCACCCGGGTGAGAACGCGCGCCACATCCCGGGGAACTCTCCTGGTAGACCTCACCTCCGAGCGAATAGAGTTCTTTCTGTTCCTCTTTTCAGGAAGAAGCAGGGAGAAACCTCCCGGTCGAGACTCTTGTTGGTCTCCCCCTTGGCCCGTGGTGAGCCGTCTGTCTAGGCAGGCGGCGGAGGGAGAGTACTACTCACCCGATATGGACAACACCCCGTATCTGTGGGCTGTCGATATACCATGATATACCCGTAGCACGCCTCCTTGTGAAGTTTACAGAAGGAGAAGAAACAAAAGGTTGGTGACCGTGGCTTTGACGGGGTACTGTTCAACAGGGTAATGTTGACACAGGATTAAGATGGATTAAGAAACCACCCCCTATTTATCAATCCCAGCTCGACCCCCCCAATACTAAACTATATAAGTTAACACCTAGATTTCCACCTTGGCATCACCCTAATACTTTTTTCCTCTACCAGAAACCTCCCCCTATTAATCAATCCCAGCTCCCCCAGAAAAAACAAATACTGTAATTGGTTTTATATTTATGTATTATTTACTTTCTTTTGGCTCGTATCCAATATCCTTTGGTCCCTAAAAACATCTCTAGCAAAACTCTTCTATTTTCCGTTATTAAAACTCTATCAACATCTTAACGTTTTCTAGCTCACAAAGGGTACCCCTCTCACAGGCCTCAGTGTTCACTTAGCATCATATCAACCATCATCCATCATCAGGTCATCGCCTTTATTAGGGGGGGATGTGGTCCTCAGATACCTCCAATCTCAGACCTTGTTGACCTTGTTGACTTAGAAGGGAGGGGGGGTCCCCGTTTATTAATCCGGTGTCGAGATTACTGCAGTCAGAGTTTGATTGGAAACAGTTGCTCTTCACCTCGGTTCTTTTCTTTTTTTCTTTTACCTGGCCCCGACAAACAACATCTTGCACACAAGTTTCCCCCCCGACTTTGGAGTGCTTCCACGCAACTTCTTCACGCTTGGACAGGCTTCATACCGCACTCACCTACCCCAACAGGTTCCTCCTCCCATCCAACCCCACGGCCCTTTAGTGAAAAGCATCTTCTTTTGCAGGCGCGGAAGGCGCAGAAGGAGGCCACGAGGGATCTCACGCGCTCCTTCACCACGGGGCTCATGCCAATCTCTTTAAGTGCTCGCTCTTCCAGCGAAGACCCTGCGGAAGCTGAGGAGGAGGGACCGCTGGGGATGGACAGTGCGCGGCAGGTGGACAGCCCGCGCAGCCCGCAGGAGGAGCAAGGTGTCCTGGATTTCGATTGAGAAAGCAACCATGGCTGCGGGCCACCAAATATTTACTGTAACCTGATCACAGCTCGCAGTCATGGCGAGGAAAGGTGTACAAGAAATCTGAACGAGTCATACACAAGCAGAAAAAAACAGAAAACAAGTAACAAGACGATAGAACAAGCAGGAGGCGACCCTTTCAGACTAGTTATAAACAAGGTAACGCTTCACATTTTTTCAAGAGGTAACTCGTTTTGGACTGATGCAAGTGGTTTTTGTTTTTTAGCCCTACAACGGCTGCAAAAGCTGTAGACCGATGCCACCGTCTCTCCCTGAAGACTGCCGAGGTTCCGTGACATTCTATGCATTCTGCACAGACCAAAAACAATGATGTCCAGTGATCATTGTGAGTGGAGTGGAGGTTTATCCTGCCCAACAAAAGCATAAACCAACAACACTGAAAAAGATAAAGACATATTAAGACAACAACAAACAACAACAGATTACATCAATGATGTCTTCCCCTCCCTTTCAGCTCTTGGCTGACAACTCCCACGACAATCACTCACCTCATCCAAAACCAAAAGCCCCAGTGGAAGTTAGAACCCCCCCAAACCCCAGAACCCCGCCCCAACACACACTTGAGAAGGTTGCTCCGTGGAGCTTGGCTTCAGGCTATTCGCGGTGAGCATTAGCACTTTCGTGTTACTGCAGATTAGACCATCACTGAAAAGAAGTGCTGGGTCAGATCAACAGAATGTTTGAACAGTGCATTTAAAGGTTCTTGAAAATTGGCGCAGGTACGTTTTCACGGCATCATGGATGGGTCTTCGTTGGCCCATGCAATCCATGTGCCCATGGGCCCCCTGCTTCTGTACAAGGTCAAAAGGAAACGAGCGATCAGAGATAGATAGATAGGTTAGTTCCCTTCGAGACAGGGGTTGACACACACAAGAAGCCGAAACGGCGCATCTAGTACTATTCAAGGCACAACTCAACGCAAGCTGTCTTTTTTGAATGGCTGCAATGCTGCAGCGCTAGGTGTGCTTGACCGCTTCTTTTTGCTTTTTCTTTTTCAGCCATTTGTCCTTGTCTTTTTCCTTTTCTTTTTTCTTTTTCTTCTGCTTTTTCGCCAGGGGGTGAAGGGGTGTTCGGGCGTGCATTGATTAAACGAGCCTGGATGCCACCTAACCAGCCTGAAGAAAGAAGAGAAAGGTGCAGGGGGTGCGGGGGGGCAGGGCGTGCGTTGACCAAACGAGCCTGGATCATACCTAAAAAGCCTGAAGGAAGGATCAAGACAAACGAAAAGGCAAGGAAAAACAAGCAAAGGTGCAGGGTGCGGGGTAGGGTGGATGCTTTTGCGAGCGAACGGCACGGGCCCATAGGCACTGTCCGAGAAGCCGAATCGGCGCTTTGTGAAAAAATTGGAACGTGGAAACATCTCCGGGGTGAGACATGATTCAGTTGAACTCTGCAGTAAGCTTCAGTGAGAATTCCAGTAAACTCTGCAGTAAGATTCACGTGTACAGGGTGAAACGATTCAGGCAAGCTGATTTCGAGCAGGAAAATTCAGCCGTACAATTCAGAAAGAATTCAGAGAAATTACTCCTGCGATGAGGAGTGGAAAGGTTCACTCAGTAACGGCGCCCCGTAGGGTTCACACAGCTTACCACAATGGGAAGAAGGTTGCTCCGTGGAGCTTGGCTTCAGGCTATTCGCGGTGAGCATTAGCACTTTAGTGTTACTGCAGATTAGACCATCACTGAAAAGAAGTGCTGGGTCAGATCAACAGAATGTTTGAACAGTGCATTTAAAGGTTCTTGAAAATTGGCGCAGGTACGTTTTCACGGCATCATGGATGGGTCTTCGTTGGCCCATGCCATCCATGTGCCCATGGGCCCCCTGCTTCTGTACAAGGTCAAAATGGAAACGAGCGATCAGAGATAGATAAATAGGTGAGTTCTCTTCGAGACAGGGGTTGACACACACACACAGACAAAGGCCAAGGAAATAGCGTCGAACTTCAACATCATAGCAATTCATAGCAACAAAAACTCCCCAGAACCATCCAGAACCACCACGGGTCGGCTCGCACCAGGTCCTCGTCGTTGCTGTGCTCCGCTCGGCGCGGTCCGCGCGCGCGGCGCCGCCTTGCGGTCCGGTGCCGCGGAGCGCTGCGAGCGGCGCTGCGGCTGCTGCCTGCGGGCGGCGCGGTGCTGCGGTGACCTGTGGGAGGCCTTTGAAGGACGATGTCAGGCAGATGGCTGGTGCATACTGCGTGGGGAGGTGGAGGGAGGTGTGGAGGTAGGGAGGTGGCTGGAGGAAGGCCAGCGTGTTTTCCAGCACGCAGGTGTAGACATGTATAGACACTATCCCGCTGGAGCCCGGCAACTAAATCAGGAGTGTTCGTTGGCCGCTGCAAGGCCTTGGCGACAGCGATCCGCTGCTTTTGTTGCCCTTTGATCCTCCTGCTGCGCATCCTCAGCTGTGGCCTTTGTGGTTGTCGCGCGCGCCGCGTCAAGCGCAGTGGCAGCCTGAGACGTACCAGGACGAGGAAGACGGTGAATCGAAGCACCAGTGCTACCCGGTGGAAGACGATCAGCACTGGTGACATGGGTTGAGGTTGCCATGCTCAATGACGCCAGTGAAGCAGGTAAACAAATAGACAAAACCATATGCTGGTCATGGGGGGTAAGGTAGAGCCAAATCTGGATCCATACAACAATTGTTAAACAATATCGCAGAATCATTGCTGGTCCTCTTGAAATTGGTAATTATATATAAATATATGTCGATCAGGGTGAACCGACTAGTCAAGTATTCCCCAACGAGTCCAGTCTTGAAATGTTGATGAATTTTGTGTTCTTGTTAACCAAGCGATTTTTGCGATTCCTCAGCATTGAATTGGTACGCGGACACGGTGAGTGTTGCATTCTTGAATTCAGCAGACTGGTGGAGAAAGGCCTGTCACTGCTAGGAAGACCCGAATGGCCTCCATGTTTTCACCTGGAGGTGTCAATTCTTTACATTCCGCACATTAGCTTGGGGCAAATGCAGAGTCAGGTCCTGGAGGGGTATGGACTCCCCACTGGCTCGAGACCGATCCAGATCCAGCCCACCCGAGTCGCACACTGGCCCGAGCAAGTCGCAGCAGTCGGAGAAGGGACCCCCCTTCATGATGACAAGAAGCTACGAACGTAGCCCCTGGCATTACTCCTAGGAGCGATCGGACGCTAGCTTCCAGCCATCTCAGCAGACTGGTGAAAGATGATATAAGATTGGACAAGTCTTTGGCTGAAGCCTGGTCCAGTGGACCCAGTGACTACTGTAGACATCTAATGGACTATAGGTAACCCACGCTCCGTTGGAAGCCGCCCGAAGCAAGGCCAACGTGGGATTCCGTTTGGGTTCCACCGGAGAAACACACGTGAGACATCAGTCAGATTTGGGAAGCAAAGACATCATCTTAGGATTTTTTCAAGCAAAGTGGACCGCCTGGTTGTTGTTTTGTGTGGTCGACCTTGACCTGGGATGACGAACCCCATTTTTCAAGGGGCTTCAAACATGCTGAAGCCATCTCGATCTGTCTCTGTGAGACACTCCGATTTCCGTTCATCCTTGTTTGTCCCAGCCGAGGTGGTCGGCCGCAGCACTTCGGCCGGGGCGGGGCGCCTCACGCGCAGCTCCACGTCTGCTGGGCGCCTGACACGAAGCTCCACTTGGGGGAGCAGCAAATACTCGGAGGGGCCACGCGAGCAGCCGCGAAGCCGGCTGAAGGTGCAGCTGCGTTCCACGCGCGGAGAGGGTGCGTTGATGTCAGTTCTCAGGTTCGCGACCACTTCCACCGTGCCATCCACGATCAGGTTGGTAGGGTATTTCTGGGATTCTCCTCCTCCCGTGCTGCTGTTTGTTTGGGAGGTCTTTGGGGCCCTTAGGAGCCATGGCGACCACGATTCTTCTAAGCCTTCCTGCCTTGAAAACGGGTGCTGGAAGTGACAAGAGGAAAGCCATATGATCAGAGATGCATGTTACAGGCTCACAAGTAGTCACTGACTACTTGGCGAAGTGGCGTGCTTCTTCAGGCAGAATCTCAGAGAACTGACAGATGCTCTGGTTGGCCAGATGTTCTTTCCTCCTGGAGCACAGTGGATGTTCCACGGTCTTGGGGAGTGAGATTCATCAGTTCATCAGTTAATAGATCCCAGTGTTGCAACAGTAAGGTCCCCTCATCACAACACGTGCTAACAGTAAGGACGCCTAGGCCTACACCTACACCTCCTTATACTCCTTTACCACTTCCAAAGCTTAACACTCTCTTATTTTCCATTACAGGCCAAACAAACTTTAAGCTGAATCACGGAAATTGAGTCATCCAATTTAAGCTCTCTTTAAGCCAAACACAACTTTTTTGAACCTATATAATTCTATCCAATCAACGGATGTTATACCAGCGAATAGGCTTTCGGGTCTGATTTTCCTTGGTGCAGCCAATCCATCCCCGGCTTCCTGGCGACCGGGGCTTCCTCTCTCCCTTCACCCGGCCGCAGGAGATCAAGCCACGGGTGAAGGTGACACCGCCCGTCGGTGCCGCTGGTGCCGGCGGAAGCGCCGGAAAGGCCACGGCGCAGCGCTCGGGGAAGGAGGTCTCCAAAGCCACCAGCGCGCGGGAGGAGTTCAGACAGGCGTGCGGGAGGACGAGAGTGGGGGGAAAGGATGGAAAAGGATGGACAGTGGTCTTGGAGCCAAGAGGGGGAGGATATGGGAGGATGCGTGAGTGACGTTCATTTTTGGATCTTTTTGGTATGACAGAGTTGGGAAGGAACTCTTGGTGAAGATGATCGATGTGGTGTAGATGATCCATGCTTCGATGAGCTCCATTTGACCGAACACCACGCGCGACGAACACCACGCGCGACGAACCGCTCAGCCGCTGCTTTGAAAGCACCGACGCACCTCCGAGTCACGCACGCCACCCACGTGGTCCGGAACGCCACGCCCCAAGAGGTCCGGAAGACCACCTTGCAGAAGCTGCCCGAGATCATTGAGGACCAACCGACCGAGCACCGTCCCAGCGGCGCCTGGCTCTGGGCGTGATGTTTGGTTCGGGGACCAGGCAAGTGAATCCACACCAGGCAAGTCAAGAAGACCAAATTATTGTTCTTGATTTTTCAAACATGTTTGAGATCTCAGGATTGCTATATTGCTCGTTGCTCGGTTGGTACATCCTCAAATCTTGTTAGGTCATTTCTCGGTTGCTCGCGACTCTGGATTGGCAGGATGAAGATGAGGAACTCGAGATCTTGGAGGGCTGGGAGGTGAGATGAAGTGCTCGGCGTCCTTTCGCTTCCTTTCGCTCGGCGAACCGCGCGTCGCTGGCGCGTGCGCGATCGTGTCTTGAAAGGTCGAAGGATTCCGACGTTGAAACAGGCCGTGGTACAGGATCGACTCGCTCCCAAAGTGCGATACCATGTGCAGAGTCAAAGAATGAGAAGAACATGAGTCAGAGTCTATTGTCTAAGTCTGTGCAATTTGGTTGTCGATTCTGGCCGTGCCATCTGCAAGCCGATGCAATCGGTGCATCTCCATGCAATGGTTGTTTCTAAGTCTGTGCAATTTTTCAATGCAACACTTGCGATTCTGCATGCAGATTGGCGACATGACCCGAACCCATCAGGAACTTCGGTGGAGAGACTTCCGACTGACCCCCCCCGAATCGGGAGGTTCATGAGGATGGGTTGCTTCGCCACGTTGTTGGCACCCACATGCTCATGCTCTTTGAGTGTTACTTGATATTTGTTAGAGGATGAGCATGCTGAGCCATCCGTCACATGGTACCATCCGCAATATGGTTGGATGTTTGTTGGGTTGCATCATGTTTGCAGCCCACACCAAGAAAACACCTGGTTCATGTGCCAGTCTTAAACCACCACCACCGACCTTGCGGGTTTCGGGGGGGCCGCCGACCTCGTCTCAGGCCTTGATCTGGACCGATTTCCTGCCCTGGAACTGGTCTCAGACCTACCAGGTTTGGAAGGCACGAGGTCTCCGTGGGTGTTTTGGAAGGGTTGGGACTTCCTACGACAGCCAACATCCCAGTGGCTCTTTCACCTCATCCTGGATTGGTTGGAGCCATTTCCAGCCATTTTTCAGATGTGGGGTGAGGTGACTGGTGTTGCCAAGTGTCTGTTGAGTGGGGATGGGTGAAACAAAGACAGCTTCCACTCCCAGTCGGGGTGGTGAATGGACACCCCTTGACCATCCTTGACCCCAAAAAGTGTATTCATGGACACCCGAAATCCGTGGTGCTTGAACCCCCAAAAACCATCCTTCGAGACTCTTCTTCACCCCGGGGTGGCACCCATGCTAACGCTGCGCTCGGAGCGCTTCTTCACGACCGGATCTCCGACGCCGACGCCGACCGCGGTGGAGGAGTCGCGCGTGGAGATGTGGCAGCACTTGGGCCCCGTGCTCGCGCTTTGGGCCGCAGGGATGGGACGAGGTTCGACTCGACGTGAGGGGTTCGCACGGTGCCGAAGGTTCGACTCACGGTGCCGATGGATTTCTGAATTACATAGCGAAGAGCTGGGTAGTATGAGACGAACGAAGCTTATTGGAAGCTGATTGGTTGAATGATGTTCATGATTCCAAACTTCGGTCTTCGGGGTGGTCAGGTTTTCCAAGCAGGAGAAACCATCCCACACAGCTTGATGCGTGAACAGCACGACCACAACTCCAAACAAAATCCCACACAATCCAAGATATGTTATGTCCTTTCCAAACAAGCCAGTCCTCAGTCTAATTCGTCATTGCGTTTCCAACACCGCTTTTTTCACCCGCACCGCTTTTTTCAGGTGAAGATGGAGGAGGGCGATGATCCAGATGGGCTGTGCCCGACATGGGTGATGCGCAAGTGGCGGATCTTCGTTTTGGCCTACTGGGATCCGTTCTTAGATCACCTCCCTGGCCCTGGACGCGTCTCCTGGATGGTGAGAGAAGTGACATGACATCTGTTCTTCGGCGAGGATCGGATCTTGATATATCTTGATGGTTCGGGGAGGGTGACCGGGCGCTTTCAAGTCCTTCCAACGATGCCAATGTTCACAGTAACTCAGTCAGTCTCCAACAGGAAGCTTTGCCGGCGTTGGTTGGATGACCCAAGTTCATCCAGGTTTCCACTTCTTTAAACAAATTATCACATTGCCCACTGGTCGTGCTCCAACTTGATCTCTCAAGAGGAGAAGAGGTCCTCACCTGATCCTGGCGAGGTCCTCACCTGGCTGCTGTGGAGCTCCTTGATCGTCCCGGTGGTTTTGTTCGGCGTCTCCAGCGTTCTGCTCACCGTGAGCGTTTTGCGGAACTTGGAGTACGTGGAGGGCCGCTGCCAGATTGAGCAGCTCCCCGAGAGCTTCGAGACACAGCGCGGGGCGGTCACGCAAGTGAGAGGCGTGAAAAGAGGGACGGACGGACAAACCACAGAGGACGCATCAAAATCACGCGGATGCAGGACACCTAGCAGAAATATGGCATCATATTGCTAGAGCCCCCTGGGCCCAAGTCAAGAAACGCAGTGGTTGTGACTCTTTGTTCTCCAGGAATGAAAGTTGAAGGATAAGAATTCCATGAGCCAAAGTGCCTTGATACATCTTATAGGAGATTGCCACAGAGATTCAAAAAGCCTATACCATATCCACATATATCCACTCCCAAAACATGTAAAGGGGCGCCAAACATGTGGCCAGGCACCTACCTCATCCGGCGCTTCTATCGCGCGTCGCCCGAACGCCTCGCGGGGCATGTGGTCCAGAGCTGCCAGATCCAAGTGCCCTGCGATCACGTGGATCTGAGCCGCACCGGGCGCATGGAGGATGACGCTTGGGAGGTTCGAAATGGGTCTCATGGGTTGATCGTGCCCTACAAGTCCAGTCTGACCCAGCAACACCTCTTCTTTACCTCCTTAAGCATTGGTTTGTTCTGACCAACTCCAGCAAAATGAGGTCTCTGACTTGTAGGGATGGGTTGATTCGTGGCGTCTTTCGGATTCCACTCACCACGTTAGACCTTCATTGAACAGGGTTGGAGGAAGACCCGATTCATGGACCATTTGTGGGGCGGGTCTGGACCTGCCACTGAAAGAATGTGGAAGCTTCGGAAGGAGGGTGACACCCTGCACCTGGCTGGGTAGAACGCATGTGTTCTCCTCCTTGAGATTGGACTGGTCAGCTTTCAAGCTAAAGCTTATGTCTCGCAGTTTCCGAGTTTCCCGAGCGTGTGGATTCGTTGAATTTTCATGCCATCTTCCAGAGATCCTCCGTTCGGTGGCCCAGAGCCGGGCCATAGAGCATCACACCACCCTGACCCGTCGTCCCAAAACGCTTTGCTTCGCCGTCGGTGCCAAGCTCGGCCGTCGGTGCCAAGCTGGCGAGCCCAGGACCGGTGTGACAGCTTCAAGATCTGGGCCTGGAAAGACCCGATTACCTGCTTCTACCACCAGGTGCGAAAGAAGATCTGTCAAGCCCACTTTTTGGCAGCTTTGGACCTGGTCCGGGACAGCTGTAGCTGTTGGATGCTCTGGGGATTTTTGGCCACGGCTACGCGAGATAGTTCATTTCTCACCCAAGCTCACAGTCCTTCCATCTTCACCTCACCTGCGCCCTCCAGACGCAGATGGTTCCTTCTCCACCGAACAATCCGCCGAATCAATCGGCCGCCGAATCCGATCTGCTCCAGTCTGACGAGTATGGCACCTTGCAGCGCGAACTGCTCTGCCTGGCGCGGCCCAGCGACCTGCAAGAGGAGGCCCAGCCACCCAGCGGTCGCGCGCACCGTGTTTGTCGGCACATGTGTGGACCGTTGTTGGGAGGTGGTGGGCCGTAGTGGGTGGGTTTTGGTTGGGGGTGAGGTCGAGGTTGTGCTTTCACCAGCGTGAAGCATGCCTTCTGCCTGGATTTGAACATCTATGTGACATTCCTTCGCTAGTATAACTTTAATGCATCAAAATCATTTTTTTTCCTTCTAACCAATTTTTCTGTTTTCAAAACATTGTCACAAACATGTTATTTTATAATTCTATATCTTCTTTCATGAATCCATTCTTTACCTTTCAATTTGTTGGACTTGATCAGTCATTTCAACCCATTTTTTTGCGTCCTGGGCCATCCAATTCAAACATTGGAAGACCAAACTCTGGGGGACCCTTTCGGCAGGTCTTTGGTGTGATCCTCAGTGCTGGTGCAGTGCTCATGTCGCTCCTCATCGTGGCACTGGTGAAGCTGCGCCGAAGGCGAGCGACGGCCGGAGCCGATTCCCAAGGGAGAGGTGAGCATGGGTCCAAACTTTGCAAGGTAACACTGTTATGATGCCGCCTTCGCGAAAGCTAAAGGTGCAGTCGCGAAAAATGCCGGGCGAACTTTTCATGTATGAAAGCTTGGGAGCGCGACAGCAAAAGCTTGCGAAATCAGGTCTGTCCGCGAAATCCGCTTGTGAAAGTGCTGCACTGCACCGAACAAGCCGCGCGCGCGAAATGAAGCCCCAAAAAACAAGCGGCTGCGGGTCAAGCGTGGCGATGCACGGTCACGTCGGGGAGCGGTTCCAGCCGCGAAGGATTATGAACGGTCGGCCCTTCGGAGCAGAGGGCGGTCGCCCGAGGCCCATGAGTTTGGACCGGCCTCGTTGGGGGTTTGGGGGTAGCGATGGAGTCGGAGTCGATTCAATCCAGGCTGGAGAGAAGGGAGGCCCAGAAGCATCTGCAGGTGCCCGGTTGGGCGGTCGGTTGGGGGGAGAGTTTGGTTGGGATGGCTGACGCGGGGCTTGGTGTCGGTCACACACGGTAACACCATCACTTGGCAACCAAAAACCATCGGGAAGGCACGGTGTCGGCGGTGTCGGTCATGGGTGACACCCCCGGGTGAACCACCCACGGTTCGCCGTGGTTCTGCGGTTCACAGTCTTTGATAGTCTTTGTCTTTAAAATAGTCATCATAGTCCATTCTGGTCAAGAGTCCTGGGGGGGCATTGATGGATCCAGGCAGCCATTTCTTCTAGAAATGGGAAACCGCACAGCAGCCGGAGCAGAGGTTTATGCATTGATGCACTGTGAAGCTTGAAAGAATCGGGTTGACACAGACACACGAAATGTGGATGCCAACCTTTTCGAGCGTTTCCATCCTCCTCAACCTGACAGCTTTTGGAAGGCCCAGTCTTTGGAAGCAGGTCTTAAGGAGACTCAATCAGAGGCTTTTGTTTTTGGTGCTCGTTGTGGAGCCTAGTGCGGGTCAGCACCCCAACTGCTGGGATCTGCTGGAATTTGTGGTGTTTTTTTTAATGTTTACCCTTCTCTTGATTCTGAGTGCAGACAAACATCTCAGCACCCTGAATGGATCTCCGGCGGGCTCAAGCATCTTGGGATGTTTTCAAGCACACCCATGTCTGACGCTGGAGCTTTGCTTGGGCCGCAACCAGAGGAATGGGAATTCCCTTTTCAGAAAGGGCAACCAGAGGGCGGTTGGTCGTTGTAACCTGGTCAACAGCGCCCATCTTCCATCAACGAATTCACGAACTCATCTGCCCCAAGTCACTGGAACATCCCTTCTCCACCCAAGCCAAGGGGGTCTTAGGGCCAATGTGCCCCCGCCATCTACAGGGCGTGACCGCACCGTCGTCCTGTGGCTGGACCGCGCGGGGACCGCCGCACCAGTCGCCCGCCGCGCTGGCCGGAGGAGTTTGCCGAGCAGGAGGAGAAGGAACGACAAGAGGCTGATGCGATCGCTCTGAAGCAGCGACCCGGTGGCCAAAGACCCGGGTCCCGGGACGATGGGCCGGTCCGAGACGATGGGCCGGTGATGCGTCGGAGAGATCGGGACTGGTTGGTGTTTCAAAGATGTGTTGGGTGTTCAACCTGGGAAGATGGACTTGTATTGACTTCTTCCGCTGGTTGATGGGTTGAAACCTCCCAACTAGCTGCGAAACCAGTGGTTTCAGATCCGGATGGCACCTTGTTTGGTGTTCAAGGCTGGCTCAAGAAAACAGGTACCGGTCAGACCAGACTGCAGCAGATGTCTTGGCTGGAGATGTCTTGGAACTTGGGAAACTGAGGGCATCGCCAACTCAAAAACTCCTCGGCGGGTGCTTTTTTTTTCAACTCAGACATGGTGAGAATTCATGTGTAGGCAACAGGAACCGCTGATCTCCACGGCTCGTCGGGTGGATCTCAAAGGCTTTTGGCCCATGTTTCATGAAGAAGGACGATCATCGGATTTGGGGCGCTCAGATTGCTTCTTTGGACCACACGCGAACTTCAAGGCCAGATCCGACCGGTATTTCAAGGGGGAAAGAGGGGGGACTCATGCTACAGTGAGTGTCAGGGGAGACGTCTCAGCGACGCTGTTGGGACACGCTTCCGGGATCCTAAGCCACCCAGCTCGACCCGGCTGCAGCTGGCCGTCCATCGACCACACCCCAGCTCTATCGGACTCTATCGATCAGCCGATGGATTTGATTACGACCTGGAAGAGCTTGCATCGGTATCATTGACCCCTCAACTAAATGTAAAATCATGTAGACTCTTGATTAATAATACCCCCGCCCACATGAAGAGGATGT